GCAATCTCCATTCTTATGGGTGGGCTACAAATCCAAGGTGCCGCAGATGGCACTGCACTCGAGCCCTCGTTCAGCACGGCCGCCGGGTCCGCAAAGTTTCCATACCCTTCCAAGTACTACCGTGCTATCATAGCTCTCTCTTTCTACTATTCGGTGAAACAAATTGTTTACGGTGTCCCTAGAATTATCTAAGAGCTCTTGCCCGATGCCCCGTTATTACTGTAATACGCATTGGGGCACAAGCATGGGTATGAGAACTTTACGGACGTGGCTGTGCAGTGCCGGTTACTCGAGTATGATACCGGTATCATACTCAGCAGTTGCGTGTATAGTAATTGTTAAGGCCAAGGGAGGGCAGGGATGATAGGTAGGATATTATAGGGCTCGTTGGGGTTTTTGAGGCTTGGGGAAATTACGAGTATCGTGCGTGCTCGATTGTCCACAAACGGTACCGGTACTGTACCACGTCCCCCCCCGACTTGAACCTATTTTTTCCTTGTAAAGTGTGGTACTTTAAGTAGAGGGGTGAGCTAGATCTCACTGTACGAGTACAGTACCGTATGGTAACAGTTCATTATCGTGTGTCGAGTCTTGTCTTGCAGGTAGACAGACAAACGGGCAAACAGGCGTAAAAAACGCAATGTACCGTACTTGTGCATACATGTGAAGGATGGGAAGGAAGGGAAAGGAAGGGAAGCAAAGGGAGCGGAAGAGATATACAGTAGGTAGACCGCAGACTTGGAATAATTAATGCGCTCAATTTTTAATTTTTTTTGTTTAAGAAAATTGTGTATATTATGTTTATCGTGATGGGGTGTGATATTCCGATAACCTTTGCCCGTGATAGTCTACCAATAGTCTTTTATTATTGTTATTTTACGGTGTTTCTTATGGATGTGTTGGCATCGGTGGGTGAGCGAGTGGTCGTTTGATCAATATTCAAGTGAGTTGGAAGCGAAAAAAAAAAAAAAGGAAAGGAAGAAGATGGAATAAACCTTCTGGGTGATTAGGAATACGATCGTGGGAACCCAAGTACTCGAGAGTACTGTACAGAACATGACCCGCCCAAATGCACAGTCCCCACTGATTGGCTTGTAGGCTAGATAGGATTTCTACGACTCGGCCAATCAGCAACGAGCGGTGCACTTGGACGGGCTGTGAGTTTGGGTGTTCCGCGATCGAATCTGGGTGTTTTGGACAAGTGGATACCGGCACATGGAGGGATGGAATTATCATGTTCTGTTTGTTCTTGCTGTTGTTGTTGTCATTGGGGAGCGGGGGTTTTCGTGGGACTCGGCTGATGTACGGTACTCGAATAGTTTAATGGAGGTGGACCGTATTGTGTGATATCATACGAATGTACCGATACCCGCACTCGAGCGTACTCGTACAGTTATGGTAATGGTATTGTATCGTGCAGGCATTCGAAGAAGGAAGGGAGAAGAAGGAAAAAAGAAAAGTTCAGTTGAATTTCCCTCGGGTTTGGGGCGGATGATCATGTGGATTTCACCTTTGCCCCACGCACGTCTCCCGTGAGATCCAAAGATGGAAAGTAAACGAACACATGAGTTAAGCCGGACTGGGTTCCGACTTGTTGGATGAAAATTTTTCAATCAAGAACCGGGGTTTGTCTAAGGACCTCTTCTAAGTTCTATCTACTTGTAGCATGTTCCAGAGAGGGGAGGAAGGGTAGGTATTGGGTACCCGGATATGGTATTCATTTTCCCTCGTTGAGCTCACCGCCGTCAATTACCGCCTCGCTCAGCTTGACTTGTCCTTCTTCGTTTGAAGAGGTAGCTTTGGACTTTTTTCCCCCCTGTGTATTGCCTTCCCCCCCTCCTCCTCCCAGAGGAGTCTCAACTTTCTTCATTGGTGAAGAAATCTCGAAAGTTACCGGCCCATCATTAACCAGACTGACTTCCATCATCGCCCCAAAGATTCCATCTTGGACCTTGGTACTTCCAGCCTCAGGTGATAGCTTCTTCTCCTCGACGTATAGTTCTCGGGTCTTCTGGAGCAAAGATGCGTAGATTTCCCTTGCAACAGCTGGAGGACAGGCACCATGGAAATCAGGCTTATTCCCCTTCTTTGTTGTAGCTAACAAAGTGAACTGAGATACCAGTAAAACCTGATGATCGAGATCTAGGACAGATCTCTTCCATCGTCCACCGCCTTCATCATCCCAGACTTTTAATTTTAGTATCTTGTTGGCGATTGCTTCGACGTCTTTTGGGGTATCATATGGAGCAACTGCAGGGAGGTGGGATATCGGTGTTAGTATTGAAGGAGAGAGATAGGGGGGAAGACAAGGAGGAAGTCTTGATCCTATCATACCAGCAGCTAACACAAGAAGCCCTTGGCCGATTGAGGAGACAACTTCTTTATCGACGGTAACAGAGGCCGAGAGAACTCGTTGTATGATGGCTAGAATGGTGTTAGATGGAGATGGCATTACGGAAAGGGCATAGTGGATTCAGAAGGACCTTTCATGATGCTAGTAGGTGTATGGAGCGGGGGAGGGCAGATGAGAAATGATGGGGCTCAAACGAGGGGGGGGGCGGAGAAGAGAGCGGTTTCAGTGAAATTGAAGCAGGTGGATGAGGCTCTGCTGTAGACATGCGAGTTTCGAAAGAGAAGTAGAGGTTATGTTATTGAAGGAGAAGATGTGGGACTTGCTAGAGGCGGCGGGGGATGGATGCTGGAATTCGAGTGGATTCCTTCATCTTTTGTGGGCGGAGGGGCGAAGGAAGGTGAGAGCGCAGAGCGAGGACGTGTGGTTTGTGCTGAACGCTAGAATTTTACATAACCTCCAGCGCATGATCAACCTATTGGCGTTGGGATGAGAGCGGGAGGAGGAGTTGGGAGGAGAGAGAAAGTGAGATTATGTTGATAATTATCAACAGCTCTCCTCCTGGCTGGCCTCAAACGTTTTTCTACAGCATGGCTGATGTGTATTTATGATTGTGGAACATCGTGCTCCCTTGCTTCCTACTGTACGGAGTCCGTATGTTCGCACAGGACATTTGTTATATTATATTGCTTTGCAGAGTTTTAGATGGGAATAGGGTGTTGATATAGCGAGAGATGCCCTCTGAACGATAAGGCGCTTTGGCTATTCAGAAATCACGAGGGCTATCCGCCTGCGGCCTTGCCTTCGACTGGAATACTGCAGCCAACTCCTGCTTCTGTAAAATCTTGTCCAACCCCAACAGGAGAAACTGCTTCGAACCCACTGCTAAATGCTGGGAAAAGGATAGACCCAAGCCTTGACCCATCTTTCACAACCCCAACCTTACTGTGCCTGCCGTATGTAACTCTTTAATCCACGACACTTCACCTACTTATCATACCAAGGCAAGGAGCGAGGACAGGAGATCTGGCCATCACCACTAATACCATCACCCGAGCTAGAGCCGCTTACATTTTTACACCCCACAACCGCAACACGCAGCAGCGACAGTATCGTCAAACAACCCGCGAAGCGCAAAGGTACACTTTAAATCCCACTCACCGCCTGTGGTCCCTCAACCTCCACCCCGCCCGCCTACATCCCCCACCTCCTACCGGCGCACCGTCGAAGAAGTTTACGAAAGCAGCTGACACCTCTTCCCCCTCAGATATACGCAATGTCCGCCCGCAAACTCCAGCAGGAGGTCGAAAAGGTCTTCAAACGTGTGTCGGAAGGTATCCAGTCCTTCGAACAGATCTACGAAAAGCTCCAACACTGCAACAATGCATCGCAGAAGGAGAAGCTGGAAGACTCGCTAAAACGCGAGATCAAGAAGCTTCAACGACATAGGGATCAGATTAAGACATGGGCGGCAAACTCGGAGATAAAGGACAAAAAGCCTTTGTTGGACGAGAGGAAAAAAATAGAGACGGTAAGGGTTTCCCGACTTTTAGGGGTCTTGCTCCTTCATGCTCCTCCATTGCATATACCCTCCCCCCCACTTTCCTTCATTTTTGGTCTTTCAGGTAGGCACAAAATATGGTCTGGGCAAAGGGATAGCAATGTTCTTTGTTACGCATCTCGCGTTGCAGGGAGGGAGAAGGGGGTCAGTTTGCTGCTACGTTTAATGGTTCTGTTTTTCTGGTGGCGATTACGGCGGCAATGTGCGTCCTCTTGCACCTTGCGGCACATTGATATATTTGTAGCGGTGGAGACGGAGACCAATTTCTTTTTTGTTTACTCCAGGAGACAAAAAATTCCCACGCATATTATCCCCCTCTTTCAGACCTTTCTTGCATGTCATGGAGTTTATAGTCCGAAGCTGATGTGTCTCTTCCCTGTCATTCGGGGATATGTTCGTATTGCTCTAGCAAATGGAAAAGTTCAAAGCTGTGGAGAAAGAAATGAAGACCAAGGCTTATTCAAAAGAGGGCCTCATGGCATCCACCCGTCTAGACCCTATGGCCCAAAAGAAACACGATTTGGTGACCTTCTTGTCAGATTGTACATCCGACCTGGACCGTCACATCGAAGCCTGCGAAGCTGAGGCGGAATCACTGAGTGTTACGCTGAAGAAGGGGAAGAAGGATTCGTCAAAAGCGGATCGGGTTGCTGAAGTTGAGAAGCAAATGGAGAGGCATAAGTGGCATCAGGCAAAGCTGGAACTGATCATGCGGCTTTTAGAGAATGGGCAGCTAGAGGTTGAATCCGTAGAGAGAGTCAAGGATGACATAAGGTTCTATATCGATTCTTGGCAGGATGTTGACTACCAGGAATACGACAGTGAAAACATATACGATGAACTTGACCTTGACGAGGAGAATGCGGAGGATCTATACGGTATAGGAGCAGATGCAGATAGAATGTCAAGCCAGGAAACCCAGAGTATACAGGACGATTTATCTGAACGCCCGGGCTCAACGAAGGACTCTGTCACCGGAGGCCGTAGGCCAAGTACCCAACTCAAATCCCCCATGCCAGCTCTGGCAACATTACATCAGCCAGCTAGTTCCGCGGCTTCCCCGTATATCAACAATGGCCCACCCCCTTCAAATGGCTCCATGAAACCGGCCCCCATACCAACGCGGCCGCCTGGCGAAGTTCTGAAGTACGCGTCAGTCGCGACTGCCGCGGCGGCTGCGGACCGAAATGTTGGAATTGCTCCTCTGCCCCCTCCGCCCGGTATGGCAGCCCAAGCGTCAGCTGCCAGCTCAAGTTTGGGAATGTCACCCTTACCACCCCCGAACGCTCCAAGACAACCTTCGCAGAGACAAGGCAGCGGTTCAGGGGGTTTGCCTGCGCCGGCGCTCACAACTCCTTCTCTGCCAGATAAGTGTCAGGCCTCTGTGCCCCATACACCTTCTATTGAGGCGGCTGTTGCGGTTGCACCATCTCCTAAGCCTTCAAATGTTTCAACTGCCCCTCCTATATCCCCCAGGAATCAACAAGAATCAGCGAAGCATGAGGAACCCGCCCATACCAAGAGTTCGAGGAATGTGCCAACAAGTGAACCAGAGTCTTCTAGGTCGATACCGGAGCCTTCTCCGTCACCGCTGCCGGAATCACAGACTAATGGAGCGAGCGATAGCTCCATGCCTATAGTTGCGTCTCCGGGTCCAGAACCTAGCCCTCCGCCAGCCGAAGAATCAGTGTACTATCTTCCACCTGGCCTTCAGGATCTAATGTCATCCTTCGAAAATACCAAGAGGCGCTTGCTTCCCCAACCCGGAAGCCTCCACCGTTCGCTCGAGATCTCAATGGTTAGCGCACCAGACACGATTGATGCCGAGAAGCCTCGTCATTATAAGCCAACTACAAAGTACAACACCCCTGCTCATTACCCCCAGGAGCCGCTCCCTGTCTTTGACGACCCGAGTTTGTACAAGCGCATAGACGTAGACACGCTCTTCTACGTATTCTACTACCGCCAGGGCACCTACCAGCAATACCTTGCAGCTAAAGAGCTCAAGCGTCAGAGCTGGAGGTTCCACAAGCAGTACCAGACTTGGTTCCAACGCCACGAGGAACCGAAAACTATAACTGAAGAGTACGAGCAAGGAACGTATCGGTTCTTCGATTATGAGTCTACGTGGTCGGTAACCCTTTGATTCTTTTTTTTTGTACTTTTCCTTCTCTCCCCCCCGTTTTTTTTTTACCTCTCGATGTGATGAAACCACTGGGCTAAAGTTGTTGGCGGTTGTTCCTTTGTCACTTATCTATTATAGGATGAATCGCCGTAAAACAGACTTCAAGTTTGCGTACAAATACTTGGAAGACGACCTTTAAACTGTCTGCCTATCTGCCTATCTGTAAGGTCGGCCGTTCTCGCATCGGAGGGAGTTTTTTTCACTTTTTTTTTTCACTTGCCATTCTTCATTTCTGTTTCCTGTTCCTTTCGCCATCTGTTTTTTCCCATAATTTTAGCTTAGGCCTTATCACTCTACCTTCATCCTGTTTAGTAGTTCTAGTGGTGGGGGACTGGAAATGGGGAAAAAGTGGAAAAAGTGGACACAGAATATGGGAAGTGGAGACGGGGTGGGTGGTACTGTAGGCGCAGTGGCATTGCGGTAATAGCAGTGGTGGCGGTATTGTCTAGTAGTTTGGTAGTATGATATGATACTATTGAAAACCCTTTGCTCTCCACTATGTCATCCACGTTGGCTATGTCTTGTGTGATTGCTGTTTGATTTGAATTGCTAGGCGCGGCTGGTTAGTTGCGGTAAACCGATTCTGAAATGGCATTGGATTAACCTTTAGCTTTTTTTATTTATTTTACAATTGAACTTTCTGAGGAATTTGGCAGTTATGGGGGCGAAGCTGGGGAGAGGGAATGAATTTCCCACCTGTGTGGGGATGTAAGTATGATGAGCGCATTGCTTTGTTGGACTGACAACTTGTTGAAATATCCTTATGATACGCTCTAGGTAGAATACCATACCTTATAATTTACTCAATGCTATCATAGGCATTCCCTTTCAGGCGGAATATGTGGGTCGTTGGTATTATCCCCAATATGGTATGTGAGGTTGGCTATCTTATTATTTTTCTATTCTGATTGATCGTGCTTTGTATCCTGCTTTTCTGGTTCATGATTTATCACTCGGAGTTTATGCCCTGTACCCTGTGCCGTTTGCCGTGTCTGGTATCATAATATCATAATATTATCATGTCCGGATGCGTAGGTATCATAATTGCCATACCACCAGCAGTGTGATAAAGCGTCATAGGGATAACAACGAACTTAACTGGTCCATAATAAAAAAATTCCCCCGCAACGGTTGTGAGGGTCCTTGTCTGTATCTTCGTGAAGGCACGGAAAGGGGGTTAAAATTTCGGAGAGCCAATTGGGTTGGTGGGATACCGGAGCGCTGCGCATTAGATGACTTGGACTCGGCGCGAATGCCTTGCCTGAATAGGGCCCCACAGTCGGGTCCAGCAACCTAGTATGATACTTGACCATTGGACACTTATGAATATATATGGGAGGCGCCATGCCGCTCTCAGCCAGACATCTGTAGCCCACAACCCCTCCTCTAGTCTGGTCCAGTCCTGGGCGTATCCAAGCCCACCCTTTCCTATGATTGTGAATGTCACTTTGCACGCGGAGTATTAGCGGCCGAGATGGTTTTGTGGTTGGCCGTTAGTAATCAGTGTTTACAGTTCCTCTTCCCTCTCGAAGAAGTATTTTCTGCAATGTGCATTCGATTTTTTAATGATGATATAATATTCAACCTTGAGTGGAGAAGTCCAGATCTGCTAGTAAGTGGGATAGGTATTTGTTCCCACATTGGTATCATGCGGGATATCTCACTGGCTCGAGGACCAAGCTGTTAGGAACCGGTTAGCCCCAGTGTGATTAACAGGATCCCAGGAGTTTAACCCCCCCCCCACCAAGAGTTATTGTTGAACGATCCATCTTGTGGTGTGAAGGGAAATTTTTTTAACAAATTCTGCCTTATGGGAAATGGGAGGTTGAAAGCCTTCTTGCCTCCCTCAATGAGGGTGTAGAGTGGATGACTGCTGCAGGGTAATGGAATCTAGCTCTGACAGGTCCTCTGATTTATGATTTCACCTATGATAATTATAGTTTCTGAATGTTATCATAATATTATACTCTGGTGGGGGCACACTAGCTATATATATACATATTTAAAAAGGTCGAGCGTGAATAGTGCTAGTTGTTGACAGATAGTGACAAATACTAATTTCTTGATATATATATTTTTGCTCCTAATCCTCACCCGCCATAGGGCCCTCCTCACTCACTCACTCGCGCGTGAATAGTGGCTGCCAACGGGAGCCCAATAAATTATATCAGCAACCCCATATATCCGACAAAATCTTCGACCGTCTATATCTCAGTGGTGGTAGATAAAATCCCTTTAGCTACTCTGATCACGGCTAATTTAGATGGGTGTTTTCCTCGATTCGTTGACCTTTTGTCTTTGCCTACATTTCTTTGAGTACGGGGGCAGCGCGGACAGTGAGATGTGGTTGATATATCATAGTTTGTGTCGTACTGGACTTGATATAGGGCAAAGCTTCTCTCACCACTGAGCGTCTTGCATTTTTTTTCAGGGGCCTGAGTTATGAATGCACATGGCGATTAGTGGAGCGTTCTGCACAGCAAGACGGACCACGGCGCTAATCGGGATTACGGGATTAGCAATGAAACTAGTGTTTTTAAGGGAGCTTCTCGCCGTTTTATCAAGGAAGAGATTTAGAGCGTTTTAGTCACCGGTGAGGTTGGGAAAAGGGTAGGGTTACTATAGTGGCTTTTCTGGGTGTCGGATGCAGCCTAGGGGGGGGAGGTACGGGATAGTTGTGTGAGTGGTCGTGTTGTCTCGTCTGGGTGTCTGGATATTGGCTTTGTGGCCCTGGCATCTTAAACTGCGTCTTAATGCGTATGGAGACGGGCATGGGCGGAAGCGTGCGTTTGGATGTTATTGATGTAAAAGCGCGAAGATGGATCAGAGTGTTATGGGTACTGGGAGAATCAAGGAGATCGAGTGATGGTTCGTGAATGGTGTATGAGGAGCAATATTGAAATGGCTGGACGGAGGTTTTGGTTGTGGGAGACAGTTATTCGTTTTCTTTCATAGTATAACAGAGTTCTGCAGCATACTTCTGGAATTGTATAATTTCCGTCTCCACTTTCCCATCCCACCTTAATTCAATAAAAAAAAAAATGAGGAAACCGAAGGGCAAAACAAACAAGAGCTTCATCCCATAAACACCGTTTCTTTTCATTCCGGACCTATTTACTGCCAAACCAGGAACCGATTCCACCCTTGGCTTTTGAAGACTCGCTCTCGATTTTAAGATCTGCCTCGTCAATCTTCGACATGATGGCCTTCCCGGTCTTGTCTTTCGTCTCCTCGAGTTTGTGTTGGCCTTCAGTGATGCGTGATTTACCTGGTGCAATTGTTAGTATAGGCTCCCGTGTTTGTTTTCGGTAGAGTTGGAGACAAACCATCACGAACTGTGGAGTCGATAGCGCTGCCGGCTTTTGCCATGGACTCCTCAGCACTAGTCTTGTTCTCTGTGCCACGGTGAGGGAGCTCGTCCCTGATGCTTGCCGATGCACGAGATGCGTCCTCTGTTCGTCTATTTGTTAATTGTTTCATTTCACCTTCTGATGTAGTAATGGACAAACTAACGTTTCATCTTCTTCCTAGCAACACTTGCATCTCCTCCGGCATTGTAGAAATAGTATGCTGCGATAGTAGCTACCCCGGCGCCGATATATATCGGCAAACGGTTCTTTAGAGGGCCAGTGGTTCTGGGAAGGGTTCCTGCGGGGTCTGGTGGTGGAACGGACATGTTTGTAATTAGATATTATGGGTATGGAGTTTCGAGTGATGGACGGGAGATAGATGTTGGGGTTAGAGTGAGGGCGTGATTGCGGTTCTAATACCGGTATGGTGAGAGAGTCGTGATTTGATTTGTTTTACGAAGGGGTAGAGGGGAGTTTTAGCTGTGAATTTATTTGGAGTTGAAAGAAAAGATGACGGTGAGCATGCAAATACGTCATTGCTGCGAAATATTGGGGGCTAGGCTGTTTTAGGAGGATTGAGAGGAGTGGAAAGGGGATTTACACTGGGAGACAGGCTGGGGAAACAGGGAAGGAGTTGGGCTTTTCAGAATCACTTCTCTTGCTGGGGGGAATTGGGGATGCGAGTAGAAGATTGAACTCCTGAGGGGGTTCATGGGGATATTAGGGAAGGACATATCATAGCACAGGATATCGTTCCCAATGCATAACACAGCACGCTTCGTAGTATAATTGGGCACTCGTACTTCCTGGCTATAATCAGAGCTTGGCGAAGCATTACCGGTAGTTCCCTGCGCTGATCCATCTTTCTCTGGTGACGAAACTCTTTGCCTGCTCACTTGATTTATTTTCCTTCTCTTGCTTCTCCTTCCCTTCTTTCCTCCTGTCTTTCCTTTATTAACCTCACCCCTTATCTCCTATGTCACTAATTTTTTTCTCATTACTATCGTTACTCTATTCTGTCCCCCTGATTATCATTAGTAACAATTGGTGCTAGCAGCTAGGGCGCTCATCAACCAATCGATGGCCTCGCTATTATCCTTTAGGGCTTCGCGTTCATTTAATTCCTCCTCCGGTGAACTTAACCTCCGCATAAACCTACAGGATAACACCGTATCACAGCCTCCTACTGCACCAGCCTCCGAAGCCGGCGACGTCCCAGCCCAACCGTCCAACGCTTCTGCTACTTCTTCAGCTGCTCCTGGGCGCCGCGAAACGCTCCGGAAAGCGATCGCCCAGAGAAAGTATCGGGGATGGACTATCGACCCAGCCACCTCCTCTGTCGGCGATGAGCTAGAAATAGCTGGTGGTGACGGCGCACCCGATCCTCGGGCTGGGGGAGTTGTGGAGAGGACGGGAGAGGAGGACATAGAGATTGTCGTACCATCCGGCGGCGGCGGTGAAGATGGGTCACTGCAGGAGCGGGGGAGAGAGAGGTCGAACACGGGCGGGAACGCGAGAAGGGATAGTGCAGAACACGTACCTGAGAGGAGACAATCGCAGAGGTGGAGAAAAAAGGAGATTGCGGAGGTTGATATTCTTTACGAGAACCAGAGGGGGTAAGTTTCATCTAGCTTGCGTTGGGGTTTTATTGGACTGATGGATGTATGGGTGGGGGGTAGGGTATTTGCGTGCGGTATTCCCTTGTTCTCTTCGAAGGGATTGTTGAACCTCGACCCTGCACCCTGGCAAAACGGGTTATTTCGTGATTCGGCCGTGAGCATTGTCAATGCACAACTTCCAGATCCGTCATGGGCTTGGGTAATTTTGCACTCTCTGCCTCCCGTAATATGCTTGTGGCTAGTTGTGGCTGACTCGGCTAGGCGTGGAAGACCTGGTATGTGGACATGACACAAGATGTGGATGAAGAAGGGTGGACTTATAGCTTCTCTTTCAACCCTGCATTCTCGTGGCATGGGAACCATGTGTGGTTCCACTCTTTTGTTCGCCGACGCCGGTGGATACGAAAGCGTATTAAAATGTCCTACGATCCAGACTTTTCCTCTCGTGAAGGTAGCCAGGAACGGCCCCATGGACTCAACCAAGACTATTTCACTATTCACTCTCGGCGCTTGGCAGACGGTGGGTCAACCGGGACAGGAGCGGGAAAAAGGAAGCAACGACGAAGTGTAATGGAAGGGAGTGAATGGACAGGGCAAAATGCGGAGATGGATGACGATCTTGAAGAGGAAGGACTAATAACTGATATCCCAAAACTTTTGAGAGTGCTGAGAATCGCCCGATTGGATCGTGAGAAGATTGAAGTTGTAGGGAAATTTTTAAAAGATGGTGGGGAGGAGGTGACATATCTCCCCGAAAGGGTATAATTCCTTTTATGTGGGAAGGTTGTTTCTTATACTGATTTAATACTAGATACCTCACATCATGTCATTGATGATATTCCAAGCATCCCGTCGGCAACTCCTAAAGCTCCTCATTGCCGCAGCCGATGAATTCACTCCATCGCAGCCCTCAACTCCATCACAGCCCTCAACTCCATCACAGCCCTCATCCACCGTATTAACCCCACATGCCGAACCCTCAGATCTTCTCCCAACAGATGGCTCATCAACACCACAGTCAGGGTCAGCGGTGGAACTGCAGTCGGGAACCCAGAAAGCAGACCGAAAAGCCGCTAGGCAAAGAAAACACGAAAGTCTCAAGAAAGCAATCGAAACCGCAGAACAAGAAGTCCGCCGACTTGAGTATTGGAGCGACGTCAAGGAGGTCGCTGCAGAAACTGAGGGCGGCATGAGAATTGCCGAAGAACAGACTGGATTACCCCTTGGGATGGATGATTCCGAACTCAAATGGAAGGGAAAGGAGGTGGAGAGGTGAAACAAGTAGGGGTCAAATATGTCTAATTGGTTTTGGAAGGCTCTCTTTCTTATAGTTACCGCTACAGTTTGTTTCTGCTTTTTGTGTTCTACTGAGTGGTTTTGTTTATTTTTGTAGAGGATTGCTGGGTTCATTCGGACCCCAGGCGCATTTAACTATGGTTTTTCAAAAAATTAGCGCGCCGTGAATTGGCAAGGTGTTCATATGTTGTCGTTCGTCGGATGGTTGGTGGTGCCGAAGATATTCGCTCCGGTATAGGCGCTCTGCCTATGTTTGCACGATCTGTCATACAGGAATAGCTGGTTTAGAAATATCCGCACTAGATGGTACTGTACCGGCACAAAAAAAGGATGCTCGGATCAAAAAGGAATTGCCACCAGTGCGGTTCGAACGCACGCATCTTTCGATAGCACAGTTTTGTTCACAAGAAACTTAAATGTGCCGCCTTAAACCACTCGGCCATAGTGGCGTTGATGAATTCGAGCTAAATTTCATTTATCTATCCAAACCGGGCCAAGTCACTTCCAACTGCAAACCCATTGCCGGGAGGCTCCGGTCAGCTCAAACGGCCGGTGATATCCGTTTAAGCCTCAGATGCAGTATCATACCGGTATCTCCCACCACACAAACTATCCTGGGTAGCACCCCACCACCCTCTGTATCCCCCGCTTTAGTAAGACCCTTTCATACAAACGGACACTTGACGAATTTTCATAAATTACAACATAGCACGTAATGGCCGGACTTATAAGCGAGCAGTTAACGTTCTTTAAGGATAATGGGTATTTAGTTATTCCTGGGGAGTTGTCGCCTGGGGTCGTTGATGAGTTGAAGAAGGAGACCGGGAGCCTTCTCAACGGTTAGTGCTTTCTTTCCTACCGCTTGCAATTAATGCGGTTATATTGTGAGGCGACAGTGGAGGCAGGGCGGTGACTGATATGGGTGTTTGCGGAGCAGGGTTCCCACTCGAAGGGCATCCAATGACTCGCTTCTCTGCTGGCGGGCAGAATGAGGAAGACGAAAGGAAACATGTTGGAGATGATTACTTTCTGGGCTCAAATGACAAGATACGATTCTTTTTTGAAGAAGGCACGCTTATCCTTCCCTCTTACCCCCCCCCCCTTTCGCTACTAATACAGCCCTTCATAGACGCCTTCGATTCCACCGGCGCCCTAACGAAGCCTAAATACCTCGCAATCAACAAAATTGGCCACGCTCTCCATTCACTATCCGCCCCCTTCCGCTCCATGACTCTCTCCCAGCGCAACAAAGCCATAGCTGAAGACCTGGGCTTCCACGACCCGCGCGTGCTACAAAGCATGATAATCTGCAAGCAGCCGGAAATCGGCGGGGCTGTACCGCCCCACCAGGACTCTGCGTTCCTATATACTGATCCACCTAGTGCCGTTGGTTTCTGGTATGCTCTTGAAGATGCTAACGCTAAGAATGGGTGTTTGAGTTTTGTCCCTGGGAGCCATAAATGGGCACCTATTAAGAAGAGGTTTGTTCGGCGTGATGCTGGTGGGACGGGGTTTGAGGAGTTGGGTGAAGGGCAGGGAGACGGCGTCAGGGAAAGGTTTGGTAGTGCCGCGGCGGAGGCTGGGGAGAAGAGGGATGAGGAGTTTGTGATGGGTGAGGTGAAGAGTGGGGATCTGGTGCTTATTGATGGGAATGTGTTGCATAAGAGTGAGAGGAATACTAGTGGGGTTTCGAGGTGGATTTACACATTCCATGTGAGTGTTTTTATGTTTCGATATTTGTTTTCTTGGCTGGGGTGAGTTAGTCTACTAATTGTAGCGGTGGTGTGGTGGTGTAGATTATTGAGGGGGAAAGGAAGTATGATGAGACGAATTGGTTGCAGCCCCCGGAGGAAGGGTTCTCGAGGTTGAATGAGGTTTAAGTTAGACATCTTATATCCATCACTGATTTATGAACCGAGACCGTTATTGACCGAACCGAACCTTCATATCGCTATTGCAGATGGTCATTGGTCGAATCGGTATAGCAGATATGGTATTCAGATAATAGACCTGATTTTACGGGTTTCCTGGCGCTGTTCTGGTGATAGGCGGAGAGTTATAGTATTACTCGGTGTCATACTACCACACACATCTCCCCCAAACTATTGGCCCCTCTACATTTTCTTGTTGAAGGGGGATATATAGCTGGGCCGAGAGATATCATCAAGGGTATGAAGGGTACCATTTGTGGTACCCAAAAATACCACAAATCATTGAGCAGAAATTTATGTGCTGTATTGGGGGATAAATAAAGAAAGCAGCTGTATCCAGGGCTAGCATTGGAGACATTGTGACGACAAGTCGTCAATTCAGCGGTGATACTCACGGGGGAACTTATGACTGTTGATTTAGACACACTGCACTCTAGAGGGCAGGCTGGGGTGCACGGATACCAGAGCCGAGCCTGTGTTACTTTTCCTGTTGGCTCATGATCTAGCTTCAATGATATCCAAGTGCCAGCTATGCTCCGATAGTAAGTATGAGGGAGAAGTACAACACCTCACAAAAAAAACCGTTATACCAATAACGGCGTTTGGGTAATAAGAATATCAATGCAAAAAATATCAGCGCAGCAAGGGAAAGGAACTCGAAGGATTTGTGCATGGTGTTACTAAGACAGACCGCCAGAGGTTGTTTGGTACATGGGTAGTGACGAATATGGGAAGTGCCCCGCAGTAAGTTTCGGGTGCGAAATGTGTCTTCAAGGGACGAAATTATGATATGATAATAATATTATTATAAAAGTTGGCTATTGTTTGCTGATGCCAGGGCACCCTCGCCCTTAGAGGAATAGCCAAAGAAAAACCAACAATAAAAAGTGATTGGCTTTCCAGCTGTGCGATATGTCGGGTGGGATCTTGAATGGGCAGTGTATTTTAGATAGGCGGCCTGGGATTGACAGTGACACAATAACGCACTTGCAAGTATATAAAAGAAGGATGATTTAAGCATTAAGCTGCTCCCTTGCCTACCATAACCCTCGTCCGTGTATCTGAGTTTCAAGTGTGACCTGTATTGTGTGGCTCCGGACACTGCGAGTTAAGACCCCGACAACAACAAAACAGTCCCACCTTGCCAACGTAGTTGTGGCCCAACCACCACCAATGAGAATTATTCCCTCTGTAGGTCCCTTGAGGCCAATGGACAGGGGTATTTATAAGGGGGATAGGGAAAGTAAGTTAAGTGGTAGGCTGGAAGATGAAGGAAAGTTTGCATGGGAGGGAGACTAATTATCATAATGGGTATTTTTACTAAGATTCAATCCGAGTGATAGTCGGTGATGACATAGCTGGGTCCCATAACCTTTGGCGCCGGCCGCGCCGAGAGGAATCGGTTTCCAAAAACCGGGCCATGCCAGGTTTGGGTAGCCCAAAAGGGCGCATCCTTTGTCTTATCACTGGTAGGTGAAGCCGTTAGCGATTACACATGGTTCTCCCCATCTTGACCATTCAAACCAGGGGGGGGCATGCTGCAAGTCGCCTAGACGTCCTCTGGAATTCGGGGCATTCCAAGTGCTGCCTGGTGGTTACCTGGGGGCTACAGGGATTTAGCACCCTGATGTGATCTCTACCGGACTGGCCTGCGCTCCTCATGATCGGGACTGCACTTGCTGGGTTGCCGGCTTATAGATCACTGATTAAGGATGGATTGGGGATTCTTTCTTCTTCCGGAATACGGACAATGACATACAGTGCAGGGAATATGAGCATCGCCCCGTGAGACAGACTTGTTGTGAATTATGCCCGGTCCAAATAGATGATCACAACCAATCTCCTGCCGTATGATACAAGATGACGATGGCTAACTAAACTAGCAATGCCCTATGCATATAAGAGGATCTTCAAGGGCAGAAAAATGAAATATGCTACGGGGGGGGGGATAGAAGAGAAACAAATCTCGTTTTCACCTTGCGGGTGATTGGGGTTGTTACCAATTGGGTAGCAATGGGAATAAGGGAAACTCAAATGAGAAAAAAAGGATAGAGAACAGCTCGTATCATACCCTTGGCTTAAAGATGTGGTCAACCTCTTTTATTCTATTTTGTGTTGCTGTTCTGGTGGCTTTTGGTGGACTTTTGTTGGGTGTTGTTGGCTCTATGTTCCACCGCTCTTGTGGGGTGTATGGTATCATATTGAGGGAAATAATCTATGATACCACTCGGATAATTCCAAAACAAAGGTTTGATATAAGAGTGATTATAAATGCGCAGTGGTCTCCTTCCGAAGCTGTAGATGCATTGCCTCTTTCATTCCTGATGAGTTTTGGCAGGTGGCATTTGAGGGTGTCTCTACATCTCCCTCTATGCAGAGATAGTTAGCTATTAGTGGGGGGTAGCGATTGGGCAGCGGGGGGTCCCACTGCTGCCCTGCCGATTGTGCGGTGAGGGTTACCAAACGAATAACATGTCTTGTCTTCATGTTTTATCACTCGTCGGCATGGCTGGTTAGCTGTTGTGAATATAAGTAAATACTGTAGGAGGCAAAAACATACGGGCATGAGGGATAGAAGTGACTTGCCGGGTTCTTGGGGATGGACGGGTCCCTTAGGCACACGAATACTGGAGAGGGAGAGAATGGTTTCCTGGGCGGCGGGATCGACTGTTGTGGAACATTGGGCGAGAAACCAGCGAAAAATAATGAGAACCTAGGAAATACCTAAAGTTGGGGCAGCAAGTCTAACTCGGACCAAGAAATACATATGCTAAGTGATTACCTGTCAAAATAAGGTTCAATTGGATATACATTCTTTCACCTCAAAGCTCTCTTGTCAGAGCCTTTACTACTAGACTATTTAAGTTAGGTATTATCACAGCTACTACTTGCATCAGAGCTGGAATTTCGAATGGTAGACTTTGGTAGGCTACCTCCAACAATCAGATAGCACTTAGTTGTCTTGTCCACTGACTGCTGCAGAGGGTCTAAGTGGAAATCAACAGTATCATGCCAGTTTATCAAACTTATTACATAGAATACCTCTTAGGGTCGACTCCAGTTTATTTATCTTATAGCCTTTGGATAGCAGAAATGAGTTCTATATCCTATATGCCAGTAAAAGAAACCTGCTCAGGATAGTCGGAATAGTCACATTCTTGGTACTATTTTTCTTTGCCCAACCGTTAACATATTTCAAAAGCAACTCTTTCAGAGTCTGTGCCTCTTCCTTATAGAAAGGCACAATGAACACTGACACATATACCATTTCTCTAATTTGTTTCTCTAATCCCGGAAAAATCTTCAGGAGGAATATCTAAAACTAGATATCCTTCTTGTGAGTGCAGTTCAGAAAGTTAGTCCGGTGTTATTAGAGACAGTAGATTATAGGTCGGGATCATGACGGGGTGTTGGAGAGAAAAGAGGTCTAATCAAATAGAGTAAAGAAGTTAAAAACACAATGGGCAATTGTGTCGTGCGAAGGTGGTGATGGAGCGGCAATAGCAATAGGATCTACTAATGTATTGTACTAGTACATAGTCCTTAATTGAAAGATTAATCAGTATTCAAGTTAATACAGATGGTGGACCAGTAAACAGGAGAGCTCAGCAAACAATACACTAAAAGTGTCTTAGCAAGAGAGGCTTCATTTGGTCTGCTCGTTGAGTCCCAGTGAACTCAATCGGCCAGCCCGTCCGGTTCCCTGTACGGTACCACCCGACTGGCGCAGGCTATTTGACTGACTGCCTGACCGGACTGACTACGGGAAAGCTGCTTTTCAAAACCAAAGTCCGGCCTGGCTTGGGCATCTGACCGTTTTGCCTGGACATCTGGGCGTTTTGTCTTGAGTTGATGCAAGATTGGACCGGGGGTTGCCTAGGAACCGCCGGGTTTTGGCGACTCTGAATAATTTCGACCGGACCAGCCGCTCGGGATCGCGGCTCATTCAGCCTCTCCTAAACAGCGTTGATAACTGGTGATAAGTTGACGAAAAAAATGGATCCGTTGGCGTGTTGCGCAGCCGGACTGTTGACGAGGAAGAAAAAGAGATGGAATCAAGCCCAATTGTGATAGAAAGAGAAACCTTGTCTGTAGGTTACTGTCTCTGCTCGAGTGTGATGTGCTTAGGGAAGCAAAGAATTCCCGCTGATAGGCGGAAATCAGTACGCTAAACGCCAAACTGGAAATTCTGCATGATCTAAGCCCTCAAACCAAAGACCACCCCTCACCAGCACACTCTCAACCGGGTTTTTTTTGGAAATCCCCATGCTCGGGTGCCAGGTGCCGGCTTTTTCTCAGTTGCAAGGGTATGGTACTCGCTAGTATGATATAGGAACGGTGGTCTTCTGTATGATAGATCCCTTAAAAATCTGCCTCATCTGACTGACCATCGACGTTATTACTTACAGTTGCTGGGCTCTATAAAACTCGGACAGGCATAGCGACTATCATTTCCCGTAATGGCCCTTCGCCTCCCTGCTCCTCTTGGATAATATCAGTGCTCTAACAGACACCTGAAACCTATCCTCTTGCCCACTTCGGATCGCTCAGCAATAATACAAATTACTAAGTCAGCACTAGTCTGGACCGGTATGCACTCGTATGCAGGACTAGTAGAGGCCCCCTCCAGACCCAGGGGATGACGAACATCGTAACACAATAACATGCAAATAGCTTTTACCATGACTTTAGAGAGCCGACCAATGGTTGAGACCCTTTGTAAAAAATATTCCTTAAATCTGTATCGAAAGGGTCTATAAGGGGTGCGCTTAGGCTACCTTTCTTTAGTCTATAGGCC